CTTCTGGGTTGGAGGCCATCGCTTCTGGGTTGGAGGCCATTGCTATTCGGTTACTCTTCAGATCTCTCCAGCTCTCATAGGGGCTCCCGCCAGTTGTGCCCAAGTCTACCCAGCAGGGCCACGAAGGCAAAGCCAGACCTGGTCGAACGCATCCTCTTCGATGAACGTTGGACCAAACAAGGACAACGAAGTGAATATGGATCGATACCTTTTGGCTGCCACAGTGAAAACGTGTGAAACTTGTGGTGTGACACTGGTCAACTCTGGAACCCTCGGTCGATGAAAACTTGAACAACCCCACCCACACTCAGTCACAAGCTCGGTCGCTGAGCCCGCTGCAGAATGACCAAAGCCAAGCGTGCCTTTGCCCAAAGGAGCTCCAAGCGACCCAAGCAGGGATCTACCACCAGGCGCTTTTCCTGTCATCTTTACATCGGACAAATAATCCTGGTGTCATTACTACTGTTTGTAGCTTTTGTTCCTGCCGTTCCTTTCAGAGGTGATGAAATGTCTTGACTGGAAAAACACCTTTTCAGTCCCTGTCTGAAGAAGCTTCCCCGCCGATAGCTTCATGCATCCCGGAGTGCCTCCAGTGGAGGTGGCACTGGCTGCCTCAAAGGAGAAATAGGGCAGTTTCAGCATCAAGACACTGGAAAGTAGGATATGGAAATCTATATGCATGTATATATTATAGACATATCTAGAGTGCAGTGAGTCTCGTGCAAGACATATGATCCTACAAAAAATGGTGCAGCACCATGTCTAGTCTAGAGTCCAGAGTGAATGACCCTGTGGCGCGGAAAGAATATCATTTGGTCAAATTATGACAGGCTGAAGTACCCAATCACAGCTTGCAATCAAACGGTTAGACCGTTGGCCTACATTGACCAAAAGTTGCATGATATTGCATGTGGTTTTGTCAAGAAACGGCAAGTCCCTTTGCTGCTCAGCTTGCATTTGAACCTCGGACACGGCGGGTGGCGACGATAAGAAATACCCGAGAAAACAAACAGCGTGCCGCAAAGAGAGAGAGAGAGAGAGACTGATGAAGCCAACTTGCTAGGCCCATTCGTTAGGCTCACCAAGCTCCCAAAAAGGAGATAAATGTTCGTGCCTGTTCTTCATGCAGCAACTCTCGAACCTACGAGAAGCAAGCCCAAACAGGTGTTTCGGTCTTCAACGACAACACTGACCTTCGCTGATGCTCCTACAGACCTTCGCTGCAAGCGATGAACCCTCTCATAATGACAGACCTTCGCTTCAAACCTTTGCGTTTGGCGAGTCGCCGGTGCAAAAACATCAGACTCACACGCGACTCACACAGACGACACACAAGTTGTTCGTCTCTTGCTCGGGTTGGTTGAGGTCGTCTGCTACAGTCCCACCTCCCGGTGGGTCATCGCGAACAGCTGGTGGCGTGGTCCAGCAGAACCCTGGCATGCTCACAATAAATATGCGACTCCCAGTGGTTGTGCTGCTTCCTTCTTTCCAAACCATGAAAACCTTCCCAAAGTGCCCTTGATTGAAGGATATCAAGGGCAAGAAGCACGGCAAAGCTGTGTCTTTTAATGCAAAGCTATGATAGTTTGGGCATCATCCATCCACTGCCCGCAAAAAGTTCATGTTTCTGCCTCCGGTGTAGGCGAAATGAACCTCGGATTCAAGAGTTGTCTCCACTCTGGCCTGATGGCAAGTACACACGCCATAAGGAATCTCTTGAAGCCAAAGGCACTCAGCCGAAGAAGCCCCAAGCAGCGCTTCAGTTTCAGCCTGGCAAGCACTCTATGGTCTGACACTTCAAGACGGTCTGGAGGCCCTACGGATGTCTACAAATGTCTGAAATGCTTCCCAACTCCCGAGCCGATTCCCAGGCCTCATCGGATTCCGCGCTGGCCACGTGCATGGTGTAGTTGGAGTCTGTGCTAATGCTACTCATGCTAATGTCAATGTGTTCTAATACAATCTCCTGGGTCTGAGCACTACTCAGCAACTCCCTGTAGGCATGGTGGTACATTTGATTTGGAGATCCAAGTTCCAGTTGTAGCGATCACAGGAGGCATCGGTGATGACCCAAAATCGCTGCTTCATGTCAGCCATGCTGATTCATGTCCCCCCGCAATGCTGGGCCACATGACTCTCCAGATGTGGCAAAAAGGAGTGAGTATGATGCTTTTTCCTCCATCACTCCAAATAAGGCACTTGATATACATGTCCACATGGCTGCTTTTCAAGGGCTACACCTTTGTTCCAAGGATCAGATTTGCCAACCAATTGCACCACAAGCCTTCAACGTCTTCAACCTGAGCCGTTTCGATGTTCCATCCCTCACCGCCTCACGTCGGGGCTCGATGGCGCTCTGAGCTCTTCGCTCCTGTCATGAGGGATGTGTGTAGTCTGATCCGCGCTTGAAGCATCGGAGACAAATCAACATATGATAAAATACTGGTGGTGCACTGTTGCAATTGATGACTAGAAGGACGAAGAATCCGCTCAAGTGGACGGCAACATGTTTGTCAGAAGGCTGCTCTGTATGAGCATCTTGGAACTCGGAACTTGCCAAAGGCGACATTGAGACCACCGCTGCGAACATGTCTTGAAGATGTTGAAATGCGTTGAAGAAGATTTGCTGCCCGTTTGCCCAACTTTGAAGTTGTCTACTGTAGTCTTCTTTCAGGTTGGTCATTGGTTGGATTGTCACTTGTATCAGGACAGGCGATGCAGGTGCTGGGATCTATGCTGTTCACGCAAATGCATCGTTCGAACATTGTGTATTGTCCATGAATTGAGGGAAAGATCATAACGAATTAGAATGAAAAACAATGTAAAACACACAGCTCCCTATGTATATAAAGTATAAAGAGAGAGAGAGAGAGATACAGAGAGAGAAAAGAAAAGGAATAAAAAAAAGTAAGAGACCCTCGAATAGGTAAGGGGCACTTCTCATGTTCCTCTATTTCCTATCCAAGCCTCTCGTTGTACTAGTCGATCTTATACCAGTCTTCTGCCCCCGCGTTCATCTGAAGCGCCTGCTATGTGACCGTTACGGTGCTCCAAGACTGGAACACATCCTAAGAGCTGGTGTTCCGTTTCCTTAATCACCTGAACATTCAACATCAATTCTACAAGGCATCGAGGCAGCCCGGAAGCATTTTCAGCTGGAAGCCAAGCTACATTCCGGACAGACTGGGCAAAAACTAAACCAGGCCTGTGGCTTCTCGGTATTCCTCAACTCTCAAAGTTCTCAAACCCTGGGCAGGGCTCCTCTGCATCCATGTTGGAACTCGTCCTGCCATGTGAAGCTGCCACTGGCTATGAGGGAACCAAAAAAGGATGAAAAAAACATCCATCCAAACCTGCCGCTTGGCCGACCATGAATCCTTCTCTGACAAACCGACCGCGCTTCTTGTCTTCAACAGGTATATAAATAGAAATGACAGTGTCCGCTTGCCTTGGTGTCAGCTTGGAACCTGGTGTACTGCTGCGGGCCTTGGCCAACTTCAGGGCTTGTTTGATCACGGACATTGGAAAGCAAAAGTAAGCGCAATGGGGTGAGCAATGGTGAACAACATGCACCTCTCAAGCCCACACAAATTTTGAAGCACTTCCCCTTCTCAGGTTCTCTGCTGTTTCAAGTCCAGAAGTGGAGTGGGAGGAGGAGGTGCACACATGCAGTTTCTTGGTTGAAGCCTCCTTTGACCCGTTTGAACGCGGACGGCAGGCAACCCCACACGCACGGACGGTCGCGTGAGTGCCCGCTGAGGAAAAGGGGAGGCCTCCAGCTTCAAGTCACCTGAAAAAAATCAGGAACTGATGGCGCGATGGCTGGCAAAACAAACTCATACAGGACTCACACATTCAATGTCACGCATGGCGAACAGCAATGTATGAAGCGCAAGCAAAGCCCTGCTTTTATTCACCTCTTGTTCTGAGGGCCAATCTTGGCAAACTGCCAGCCACTGCTTGCTCTAAGTTGATGAAGCTTTTTGAGATGATAATGCCAACTGTTGATGGACATAAACACATACCTGAGAACGGAGGGGACGAAAGCCAGCCCCCCCCCCGCGTATGTGTGACGGGACCCTACTATCCGTCGTGTCTACTTGACTTTCTTCGTGTGCCCACCTTCTCTTTCTACTTCCTGTCACTGTAGCTTCGGACAAAGCGCGGCAGTATCGCGGCGGCTCGCGCAACACGGTGGATGCGTTGTGGACAGGGCCGTCAGCCCACGAATACCTGTTGGCTTAAGACGTAATATTTGTGGACCTTATATGTACATGAAGCGGTTGGAAAATACGCCCGCAAACACCCACGCGCGAGCGAATTCTTTTCTTGAAGGTTTTGAGGCTTCAGTGAAGAGGCTTCCCAGGGACAAGGGCAATGTGGGCAAGACATCTTTAAATGGTACAACTGGACCCTTTAATGATCTACATGGCCAGTACAAATGGTATTATGCTTAATGATGAACGAACATCTTGGTCGTGGCATGGCATTACCGCTCTGTCCCAGTGTCCTTGACTTCGCTCAGCAGCGACCGGCTTGCAAGGTTACGTGTCCGCCCAAAACAATCACGACGTGTCCATTCCAGTACCCGGATTTCCTGCATTTTTGACTGTCAGTGAATTCGCACGCGAAGGTCTTTGGGTGAGCGCATTTTTGGTGTTCCGCTGCTCTGTTTTCCTGCATGGGCGCGCCGACCAGGAACAGCGTGGAACATGGAAGACGCAAAGCAACCAAAAGCAAAAGACGAGCTACAGAAGAAGGCCCTTGTTCTGCTTGCGGCCTACTTAAACAAAGGCTGCAAGGACCCTGGATGAGTGCACCTTGACTTATATAGATTAAAAGTGCTATTACATTGGTCGAGGCATGGCATTGCCGCACTGTCCCAGTGTTCTTGACTTTGCTCGGCAGCGACCGGCTTGCATTATGGATGCATGAGTTTGACGAGGCTGCACCCTTGGCCAAACGGCCAGTGGACCCTTCTTCCTGCTTCTTTCCTTCTTTTTCGTTCTTTTCCCCTTCTTCCTGTCTCTTCCTTATTCTTGCCTATTCCTGCCGCCTCCTCTAAAGCTAAATGTAGTACTGTAAAAAGATACGAACCAGCAGCAAACACTCACAACGTGTCAATTCCAGTACCGGACTTTCCTGCATCTTGCATGACCGTCTTCGCTTCCTGCTTTTTCGTTCTTTTCCCCCTCTTCCTGTCTCTTCCTTCTTCTTGCCTCTTCCTGCTTCCTCCTCTAAAGCTTTATGATATAAATGTAGTAAAAAGATACGAAGAAGCATCCAACACTCACAACGTGTTAATTCCAGTGCCGAACTTTCCTGCATCTTACATGGCCCTTCTTCTACCTTCTTTCCCTCTTCCTCGTTCCCTTACCTTTCTTCTTCTTCTTCTTGCTTGTTCCTTCCTTATCTTGCCTTCTTCTTCGCCCATGCCATTGCATCCTTTACATCATGACAGCCCTTCTTCACCCATGCCATTGCATCCTTTACACATCATGACAGCCCCCCTCTGATTGCATCACTTGCATCCACAGCCTCCCCCCCAGACCCCCAAATACTCACTTCGTTCGCTATTCTGATCTTCGCCTAGCCTACGGCTGGCTTTCGTAAAATTGAATGAGGATGTAAAACCCTTCTGGTACGGACTTGTTTAACTCAACCGTCTACTACGGTATCGTACTACATGACTGCTCCAGAGCTCCACGGCCTTTGCATGGTGGTGGCCGGCCCTTGGAGCCTGGCAGAGAAATCAAGGTGCTTCAAGAAAGACACATTAAGGATCCGTCCTCGGTGACCCATGGAAATGCACCTCTTCGCACCGTGTCAACATGCGAAAGCGTACAGGCCAGAGGACAAAGGCACCGAGGCTCCAGGGCTCCCGAAAGGCTCCCCCGGCCTGGCGGCACGAGGCTTCCTGGCGTTTCGCACTCCTTCGGCGTAGACTCCTCCAGCCTCGGCAGGCTGGATGAGGGGTGAGTCTTTTCACAAAGGACATGATCAGGTTTGACCATTTCGCTTGCGATCAGGTGTGACTCCCTTTGCCCATTGAAACTTGAGTGATGGAAGGAAGACTATGTGCCTGTCACACTTGAAGGCCGTTTCAGAGGTGTCCGGGACGGGGCCACTGCATCACTGCCGTAACATGAGCAATACAAGCCTCCAAGAATTGCCCTCTGATTACTGTATAATTTTTGAAGACTGTGGCTTCATGCAATGCAGACACGTCATCCGGCCAAAAATTCTGAACCATTCCTTTTAGCGAAAGAGTTTTTGCATCTTTTGTTGCGTTACATCACAATGTGTACAGTGTTTAAGTCTCTAAGTCACCGGCAAGGCGCAAAGATCTTGTCTCAGCTCAGCTGGAAGTCCTCAAATGTTTGGTGGCGTCTGAACGACGTCTTTCACAGAAACTACAGGACATCTCGACCAGGGGCTTGCACGGATCGATATGCTCACAGGTCTGCTGATTTCTACAGCTATGACTGCTATGACAAAGATTGTTAGTAAATCCATGCTGACAACGATGGTGAAAAAGACTGTGACGCCGCTCAGGCCGCAGGCCATCGGCCCTGATCCACAACCAATTGGATTGGACCCATCGAGTTTCTGAGCTTCCTGGCCGTCTGCTGTGTCCAAAGCTTTGCGAAAGGCTGCCACCTTCTCCTGCGGACTTTCCCATGCAGCGAAAACCAACATCTCGTTCTGGGCGATTTCGTTGGACACGGAGATTGCTCCCTTCGGGATCCAACATTGAACTCCAAATCTGGGGTCCCCAAATCCGGGGTCCCTAAACCGGTCCCTTCAGGTCCGTGCCTTGTCCAGCTGCTCCGTGAGCGGAGACGCTCCTGGCGAACGTGCCGCTGCGGGTGATGTGCAGAGTTGGTCGCCAAGGACATGGGGCTCACGAGGCTCACGCTCAAAACGTGTTGACTTCTTAGCATGTTCTAGCGGCTAGATCTAAATCAGTCCTCATCCTCAATTGAGCGCTTACACGTGTTTCTGAAAGTTTGTCCTGTCCCCCCTTGCAAGAGTCTTGCTCCTGGCGAGCCACAGGCTTCGCTGGTCCTGAGTCCAAAGGATGGGCAATCCATGCTGTCTTGACTCTAGTTGCCAGTGCAAAGGACTTCTTAGGCACTGAAACTATCTGCATTTATATTGTATATATATATACTATTTATACTGTATAGGCATCCAAAGACACGCCTCATTCTCTGCAAGCTCCAAATGATGTGCCGAACGGCCAAAAAGAGAGTCCTTGCCTTTCTCATGTGGTGATAATATCTTAATCTTAAGATAGCAACATCTGGTGATAATAACTTTCTTGAACATGTGTCTTTCAGTTCGAACACCAAGGGCCTCGTCCAAGCCTGTTCATGCTCTACCGGCTCTGGCTCCGCTTCCTTGATCCAGAGCTCACAGTCCACGCGGTTGGCTCAAACACGAACTCAACACCCCGAGATCGCCACAAGAAAGGGTGCAAACCTCAGAGGTGTTTTCGCAAAATGGTGCAAACTAGAAATGACAAAATGCTTGTTGACAGGTGCAATTGCCTGGCAAAGATCGCATCTTCCAGCTTACTCAGCCTTCTCGTTGCCTCTCTCGTTTGGGGAGTGTACCAAAAGGCTTTGGTGCAATTTCCGTGTCCGGTCCTCACGTGTCTCAGCTCAGGACTCAAAGTGTTGCTCACCTTCTCTTGATTGACCTGAGGAGAGCATCCCAGATTGGCAAATCATAGCCTTAACAATGAAATGGCTGCGGAAACAATGTCTGAAAATACTCCAATAATTATGTGTCTGAACCCTGGCCACTAACCAGCCATTCAGAAACCAATCAGCAAGCCGGCGGCTAGCATGTTTGCTCAAGAATGGTGTTTCAATATGCAAGCCAATGATCATTGGTGGACTGCAATGATCAAAACCCACCGTTCAGTCCAATGAAGCGCCACTGAACAAGGCCAGAACCCAAGAATTGACTCTGGGCATCAAGGGAAGCCTCACATCGCATCTCTCCTTCTAAACAGAGAGCACAAAAGGTGCGAGAACTTGTGGAGGAGCGTGTGACATGCAGCTATGGAAGGGCCTAGCCGAAGGTTGAGAATCTTGAGTCGGGGGCGAGCTTGCTGGCACATTATTCCCTCAAGTGCAACAAGTACTGGTACTTGTGGTTTGCGGAATTGAGCAAAGCACAAGTTTGATACTTCACGGTTCGTCCAGGGAATGAGGCAAAGGTGAGTTGCAGACCTCTGGGTCCTTGGAGAATTGTATTGGAAACCAATGTCACGCCACTAAACCAACTCAAGCCGACATGCCCCACGGCTCCCTTGATGCCTTCCGTTGACTGGCAAGGCCTGTGGGCTGGGCTCAGATTGGTCTCATGCTGGTGTCTTTGGAAGGTATGTTGAGTTGAAAACCCGATATGAGGTCTTCCCATGAGGTGACAATCCCTCAAAGACCATTTTCCAGTGAGTCGGGTGCTCTAAGAGCGCATGCATAATCTGAAAGACATTAAGTTATATACTCCCCAGCATTTTTGAACATGCCACAGTAGCTGCAACACATGAATCTGCGCCAGACAAGCAAACCCTCGGTGAGGTCTAGTGGGGCTGAGCCTGACAGACCCCAAGTTCGATGCGAGACACACTGGCACTGTATCTGCACCATGTCTTCCACATGAATCTATATCCGGTTTTGCACCATGTTTGACCCCCATGTTCACAAGATGTCGCATCATTTTGGGCATCCCCCATGTCTTGAGCGCTTGATCAAAGCTCAAGACATGCGATGCCAAGGCGATGGGCTCCCAGGCCTGCCGGCAGTGCCATATCTGTTTTGCTCAGTAGCGCTGTAAGGGCTGCATCGATCCTCAGGCAGTTGGTCTTTTGCGGTGGTTTGACTCACAAAAGCAGTCTTCCGAGCGCTACAGGTGTCCTTGCGGGTCTGAACCATCTGATTCTGTTTTGGAAGCTATGCAAACCGCTCACAGCTCAGGAAGGCACGCCACAAAGCGTGAATCTGAGATGATCGATCGTTCTAAGACCTGCGAGATGTTTCGCGCTGGCCAAATCAAGGATGTGAATCTATCATGGATTTCGTGCCCAATCAAATTTGAGCGTGTTTCAATGATTCCTGCGGATTCTGTTCATAGCTCACATGTCAGCGTAGCGTAGCCCAACATACTTGACGCAAAAAGCGCCTGGCTCGCCTCCAAGGCTGAGGCCTGGGTATGGAGGCTAGCCGTGCTCAGGACTATGCATCAGTGGAGGCATGAATCGACTATGCGCCTTCAGAGACCTGCATAAACCTGCGTGAATCGACTTTCGTATACTTTCGTCTTTAACACCAGCCTCAGGGTGCTCCATCTTTGGCACCTCCTCTGCCTCTCAGCGACTGGTCTTCTGGAATGTTGCTTCCTACTTACTCTGGGCTCAATCGTCAAGGCGGATGTGAAAAAGCAAAAAATGGTATCTTCACTGTTCATCATGGAATTGCCAGGGTCACTTTGATAATCTACAGCTGTATAAGTGTGGTCTCGGTTGGATAGTCCATTTACATGGCTACTCCGGTGAAATACAATAAGGTAACAGCAATGTTCTTTGCGTTGTTTGATGTTTCCCTCATGCCATATGCTGTTTGTGTCTCCAAAATCACTCCACTTTAAATCACTCCACATTCCCAGGCGCCAACTCCCACTTTCCCGCACCTGGCTAGGCTTTACCTCACAGATTTTGCATGGCCATGCGCAAGTGAGGTGGGAAGCACATCTTCGCTGGTGGGAAGCTAGAAGGCTGTAAAAATCTTGTCATGATTTGGACAGGGTGGTGTGTCTTCGCATGTTGGGACCTGCCAATGACAAACTCGTAGCGTCCTTGCTCCTAGTAGAAAGGCCAGGAGCCCCTAGTAGCGTCCTTGCTCGTAGTAGTATTTTTGTACAACGCCAGCCTGCAGCTGTTCCAGCAAGCATTGTTGCAGCTCCTATTGGAGGGACGCGTGGTGGCTGTAATTGTCTGTTACATGCGTCCGACAATCTCCTGCAGGTGCCGTGCTCTGTCATTTATGGCATCCTCTTTCACCTCCCAGCTCAGGACAAATGGAGCGGTATGATGGTTTTTCGTCTCCACACTCTACATCACTCTACTACCTATAGCTCTTCTGTGACCCCATCAATGCGATGCAACACTTAAGCGTCTACTCAAGCACACTTCGAAAAAATACTTTACTTCGAGTGATCCCCACCATGACATTTCAAGACAGCCACGTTGACATCACCATCGTTGTGTATTTCAGGGCCCGAACCTGGGAAACTTCCAGGGCCCGAGCAGTAGTAGTAGTAAAAGTAGTAGTAGTAGTAGTAGTAGTAGTAGTAGTAGTAGTAGTAGTAGCAGTAGCAGTAGCAGTAGCAGTAGCAGTAGCAGTAGTGGTAGTGGTAGTGGTGGTGGTGGTGGTGGTGGTGGTGGTAGTAGTAGTAGTAGTAGTGGTAGCAGAGGTGGTGGTAGTAGTAGTAGTAGCAGCAGCAGCAGTAGTAGCAGTAGTAGAGGTAGTGTAGTAGTAGCAGCAGTGGCAGCAGTAGCAGTAGCAGTAGCAGTAAGGCCCGGCAGGGAACACGTGGGCCTGGAGCTCGCGGTTGAGGTCCGGCAGGGAACACTGGGCGCGGATGGTCGCGGATGAGCGGTGGGGAACACTTGGGTCTGGAGCCTGCGGTTGAGGTCCGGCAGGGAACACTGGGCGCGGATGGTCGTGGTTGAGGTCCGGCAGGGAACACTTGGGTCTGGAGCTCGCGGTTGAGGTCCGGCAGGGAACACTGGGCGTGGAGGAGGAGGCGGAGGAAATGGGGCTGACGTAAAATCTAACAACCCTCACCTGACAGGTGGGGAACCATTCTCTTGATGCCAATTCGTCCTTAACTCTTCCAGTGTGACGAGTTGCAAGCCCACATTTGGCTTCCAACATACAAACCACAACCATTTCTCAGCTCCTCTTGGAATCCTTTCCATTCCCCCTTATCTTCCCTTTGCATTTCCACCAAGTTCACGTTCCGATGGCCCCACAAATCCGTTCCGTGAACCAACGTTCTGTCGAGTCTGACTTACGGGCACGTGCGTCACAAGATGCTGGCATGGAGGCATGCGGTGCCATGCTGCCACTGTTGGCTTTCGCTTGCCTTCAATGCTTCTTCCCGCGCTTCATCTCTTTGATTTCGTAGCTCTGCCACCTGGCACAGCCCAGGTGTCCCTCTGAAAGTGGCTTGGCTATTCAACTCAGAGCAAGTTAGCACTGGCACAATGGCCGATAAGCCACTTCCAACTCATGGAAGGGCAGCATCAGGCATGACTCTTTGCTGAAGAAACACATCTGTGTGGCATCTTCGACTATAGTGACGTTAAAAAGTAACGGAGCCCTTAGAGGGAAGCGCACCTGGCGTTGCATTTCGCTCGCCAGCAATCGCCTTGAGAAGCACAGAAAAAGAAAACACGTTAGACAGATTACAGATTTGTCGCAAAATCGGTAAAGCAAAACTTCTTGAAGCGTGATGGAAACTCCACGGGAGGCGTTCTCCGCCACCTTGAAACAATGACTCTTCCCAGGACCAATGGCTTCACCGAACGATGTTCGGTGCACCCCCCGGGAAGCCCTGCTGCTGCTCCACGAAGCCCTGAAAGCCCAGCTCGCCATCTGACACCCACGAGACCAGCGGATGTGATGAGGGATTTGTCGGGTTCTTTTCGCCTCCTCTATGGGTCCAGCTATCGCTACTAGGAGCAAGGATGCCACTAGTTATTGCCCCGTGAATCCCACAAATCGCCTCCTTCTTGCTCTAGGATCTTCAGCTATCGCCCACTGTGAGTCCCACCAGTGCTGTTAAACAATCCAAACCACTTCACACTTGCCCAGTTGCTCGAGATCGTTTCTGCTCGGTGCGGTTGCGCATTTGGCACCGGCCAGCCTAGTTTGTGCGGCGGGCTCGGAGTACCTCAGCGTACATCGAGCACAATCAGCGTCGGCGCAGTGGCGTCTCAGCTGGGAGGATGTTCCAAACAACGACCGTCTGGGCCCCCCGAACAGGTTCCGACCCAGGTGCCTGCAGTGTCAGCAGGTCCAAATACCTGGATCACCCAAGTCATGTGGCATAAAATGGTTGTTGCGGCTTTGCATCAATGGTTGTTGCGTCTTTTGAATATTGTTTCCTAGTTTGCAATGTTTCATATAGAACGTCGTCAAGCAATTGTTCAAGAAACACGTGGATCAACTAAGTTGTGTGAGCAGGAGCATGAGTCGCCACTATTTTCAATCTTCTCCATTGTCAGCTCTGAAACCAAGTAGTGGCCAAATCAACAGAACCACAAGCGCCAACAGGCAATCCAAATGGAAATGGAACTTTGTCCTCGGCGGTCTACTTTACGAGCCAGCAGTGTCACAGTCTGTTGCAAAAAGTTCTCGTCAATCTCGTGGTCGCCGAACGTCATGAGGTCCGTGGTCCATCAACTCGGAGTCCTGGCTTTGAGTTCCGATGCCACATCCATCGAAGGCCAGCTTCCTCTCAGCACAGCAACTATCCTTGTCCTACAAATGTAATGCTGGAGCTTTATCAACTCAACAAGTGGCACAACAAAACAGAAAAGGAAGAAAAAGAAATCGAATAATCCAGAGGGACATGCTGTAGTAGGGAGACAAAGCATATAATCGCGACTAGCCGATGGGTTAGATCGAAGATGGCGAGATTGCACTTAAATGCGTGCATATAATTGTAAAATGTGGCTTGCTTCTTCTGTTTGGACCCAGGATCCCTGTGTTACATTCGTTGATCCCACCAACTGCACAAAACAATTTTATCTCAAAAATATCAAAAAGTGACACGGAACAAGTGAGTTGAAATTTGTAAGAAAGGACAAGAGTCACCACTCAGTTCTGCAAGCTGAAAGCGCCGATGAAGCGCAGGACAAACGTGCTTCGTTAAACGCACGCTTGAGCGCAAGTGCCACGTTTTTGAGTAAAGCAAGCGCCACGCGCCAAGGCCTCTTTGCTAGGAGTCAACACTGATGAAGGGTGCTTGGGCGATCACGGAAGTCAACGACATTGAATGAGTCAGTGAAGGAGATTGGTGAAGCTCTACTCAGTGCCTGATTCAGTTCTTTCCTAGGAACTTGCCGCTTTTTTGTTCCTCGCTCAATCTGATGCAAAAACCCGCCTCTTCAGACAAAGCTGTGGGCACCGGAGGCCGCCATAGCCACCCACCGAAGCGACCATAATCCTGGTCGATCATCCTCAGCAACAACACATAACAGAACAAACTTGGAGTGGTGACCAATACAACATCACCAAACTTCAAACAAGTTCACCAATGAGAGCACGACAAAGAAGAAGAAGAGGAGGAAAAATAAGAATAACAATAAGAAGAAGAACAGGCCGTACGATTGTAAAGAATCCTACACAACAGCATCACATTGGACTCTTTACTCTCCACATTAACACCCATCGTACAGCACCATCACCTCTTCAAAATGTGACCCTTTATAAATTGAGAGTGGGGCGACGTCAGCCTCAATTTTTTGTGTGCCCCAAACAACATAGCTGTAAAGCAGTCTGCTGGCAGCTTGCAGTGAAAGCGGCCCCGATTCATTCTAACAAGGGATATGTGTCCTCTTCTTCCTCGATTTTATGCTATTTATATAGTATAGTTATGTATGTAAATATACATAGTTTTGTGTATATATATACATACAGTGTATATATATATATGCAACTCGTATATGTAAGTCTGGAAATAAAAGGGCCCCCGGCCAGAGCCAACCTGCCCCCCATCACCAGACAGACCAAGCAACTCCCTGAACGGTTCCAGTGCGGTCACCTTGAGCCTTCCAATCTCCTGCCCCGACATGAGAATCGTCTCGGTTCGGATCGCGAACCGGCGACTTTAGGATTTAGGACCGGATGTTTTAGCAACGTGTTCTGGTTTGTTGTGCAACTCACAAGCAAGTACGGAACGGTTTCACTGCAAACGCTTCTCATTAAACCCTGTCCTGTCGAGATGCAATGCGGCTTCCCAACACTTGGGCGGTATTTGCACGGTGCATCACATGCACGCAGAAGCCGTCTTCATCCTGAGATCAGGAGAACACCTCCCACAACAAAGCAGCTGTGGTTTATGACAAAATGGGTTGTCCATGTCGAAGCACGCCCTCATCAAACACACTAAAGATAGAGTACGTACGGTCTGAGTGCCACATGCCATGAAGCTGCCTAAGTGGTTCAAGAGGCCTAGGCAAAGCTCTTTACAGCAAAGCCAGCGCAATGGATAAAAACAAGGGGACCAAAGTAGGAAAGGTCATGACCCAGGTATGTGACTCCAAGGTGTACTCACACACAAGCGCTGACAACCCCACCCCATCCTTGTAGAGTTGGACCTTGTCCTTGCCGAACATATCTCGTAGCTTGAGAAAGAAGGGAGCATCTTCAGCAAAGCCCACATTGGGATACCAGAAACGTAGTGATGGAGTTCTCTTGTGGGAGTAGCTGAAACCATAGCCGTACAAGATCTCATCCAGATCCTGCTGATCGTCCGCCCATTCTTCCCAGCTCTCAGGATCCTGAGAAAACTTGAGAGACCTCTGAAAAAGAGGGAAGCTTTTTGACACACCCAGAAATGGCAAAAAGGCAAACAGCTGCAGCTGCACAACATCAAAGAGCTACTCTTCAGCGCCAAAGAGTCGGAAAAGGTGCACACACCTTGGCCTCGTGGCTGAAACGAAATAGGGTGAAACACAAACACAAGGAGGACGACAAGTTGAACACAGAAAACCACACAAAAGTTCACAAAACAATTGCATTGCAGTCTGAATGCCTATGTAGTAGTTGTACCATGCTGATAGAGTCAAACCCACCAGGTTCTGACTGGAAATCAACTGTATCACCCTTGGCACATAGCCAGGTGCGTAGAGGTCATCATCATCGAAGTTTACAATGTACTCGCCGGAGGCCAAATGTAAGGTCATATTGCGTTTCAAGCCGACCTGAGAAGCAAACCAACATCGGTGCGTCTTGGCAGTTGCAAACCTTTTTCAATCTCTTTCACGAGTATGTGTGCCACAACTCCCAAAACTGCCTGCAGGCAGGTCTTGCAAAATCTGGCAGCTAGGGCGCGGTGATGTCTTTGCCCGGACTGACTTGGATCGGCACATGCACTACTCGCTCATCTCTGCTCGCAAATTTCCTCAAGTAGCGCGAGGGTTTCTCCACATAGGTTTCCACCACGATCAGCTCCTCAAAACTCAATGCTCTTGAGGAAAACCTGTGTGTAACAAACAATCACCTAGCCATGCGAACATCATGGCTCACAAATCCAACAAAAATTATATATATATATATCACACGCCATCACGCATCACAATCAAGGTTTTTTGACATGTCACATGTCCTTGTCAGCGTAGTCTTGGGCTACAAAGCAGCGGTATAAGTTCGTGTGGTATTCCTGCCGCGGCCAGGCTATCAAAGAACAAATTTCAGAGTTTTATCAAAAACAAAGCTATATATCTATATTCTATATATACATATATATCAAAAACAAAATAATATCCCTTCACAAAAACATGCGTCTGCCACTGTGAACCGCCTTGGCAGAGTTGCGCGATGTGCAGATTTCGTGGCAGGTGCAGCACTTTGAGCACCTTCAGCTGCAGATTTCATGGCAGGCGCGGCACTTTGTGCACTCGAAATGCAGATTTCGTGGCAGGCGCAGCACCTTGTGCACTGGAGTGCAGATTTCGTGGCAGGCGCAGCACTTCGCGAACCTCGAAATGCAGAGTTCGTGGCAGGCGCAACGACTTGTGAACCTTGAAGTGTCAAATGGGCAGCAGGCGCAGCGATTGTGAACCTCGAAGTGCCGATTGCGTGGCGGGCGCTGCATTTCTGTGAATCTCAAGACCTTGAAAAGAGGCTAGTCTCTGGATCTGAAGAGCTCTGGACCTCATCTTGGCCTTTACGTTCTTCGGGACCCTCTACAAGTTACAAGTCTACACCTCCAGAATTTATATATGTGTCCTCAAACATCAATCCAAAAGGCAAATATAAGCAGCATCAAGGCAGCAGCTTACACCTCTTTTCCCTGAGAGGTGGTAGTGTCTGCCTTTACAGGTTTGAGCTGTCCTTCCACCCTGCGCCAGGACTTCGCCTGGTGTGCACTGGGCGGCATTCGAAAATCTGCCTGTGAGAACCTGTAAAGCAGACTGACACCGGGCGTCCAGTCTAGGACCCATGGGTGTCATGGTCTAGTTTGGTCGAGCTCCTCCCTATCAGTGCATGAAGCAACTGAGGATCAGTAGTGGTAGATCTCCTTGAGGACCCAGTTCACGAGGGTAAACTCCGAGAGGGTGTTTTTCGCATCCAGGTGAAAATGCGGGCGGAACCCTGTAGGATTCGGATGGGTGAGTTCGTCAGCCCATTGGTTGAGGTCTCGCTTCACGTGGCTGGGGGCAAGCTGAGCCCCCCCTTTGTGAAGTGTAAGGACCAGCTGCATCAAAATAGCTGAAGTGGGCATCTGCCGCGTCTTGTTGTTCAGCATACAGAAGACATTCCCTTGGTTGTCAGTGATGACCAGGATCTTGATGGCCAGCTGGTGGCGTTCCCCCCATCTTCAAGATGAAGGAGATGAGAATGAGGGATCCCAGTAGCTCAAGCGCTGGTATCATAGCGCTGGCTGTCTTGGTGTTGAACAGCCAGGGAAAGGTCGTCTCTTCCAATTTGAGGTGGAACCAAAATACTGATCGTTTGGATGGGGTTGGATCAGAGGAGAGCCAACCACCAATGTAGTACTCCTTCTGGTTGGAAGCACTCGCATCACTCGCCCCGTGCCAGGGTGACCAGGGCGCAAAGGGTGTTGGTTGAGTGTATGGTTCTTGGAAAAGTAGTCGCAACATCTTGGCAAAGACTCGGATCAAATGATTAGGTCTGCCCGATGACTTGACTGCTCCTTTCCATTGCCAAAGCGGTTGAAGAAGCGGTTTGGTTAAGGGGCAAGCACTTGTTGCCCATTGGAGTCTGCCCGTGCCCTTTTCAAGGTCCTTAAGGGTGAATACTTTGCGGTAGCCTAACATCGCATGGATCATCGCAAGCTTCGCCTCGCCAGACCCCGGCTCCAACTCAGTGACAATCTCCTTGGTGAGGGGGTCGATGGAAGTAGGTCCAGACGCGGAGGAACCCCCCATATCAGGGCGTGAAGCACCTGTGGAGGGCTCCTCCTGGTACTCCATGAACGTCGTGTTGAGGAGGCAGTCAGGGATCTCCTCCAAGAGTCGCGGGTTGAAGAGGTTGGTGCCCTGCTTGATGAACTCCCGGGCGCGAAGGTAGGCCTCCTTCACCTCTTGGAGTTGCTCGCCATCCACCGCCATCGGTCCACGCTCCGGTTCGAAGAGACCACTCTCCAGAGCCTTCCTGACCTTGTCCGGCCACACACTGATTCCATCATATGTGGGAAGGAGGGGCTCCAGCTTACGCTTCTGCTTCTGGTGGAATGCCTGGTTCTCCTCCTTGGCCTTCTCCAGCGTAGTTTGGGATGAGAGGAGTGCGTCTTGGGGTTGCCCTTCCGCTTGAGGAAAGATCTGAACTTCTCAAGCGCATGGCCTTCACGTTGGAGGGATGGAAGGTGATGGTCTCCTGGCCCGGGTCATCATCAGTGGCTCGTTGCGGTTTGCGCTCCACCTCCTCCTTCCGGAAGACCTCGTCATCCCCTCTCTGCATCACTTCCTGCAAGGGTAAGGCGATTCGAGTCACTCACCAATTCACTGAAGGTGACCTCCGCGGGAGTAGCACCCACAGCTGGGGGCTTTTGTCCAAGACTGCTAACTTGCACCGAGCAAAGAGACTTCGAGTCACCCTGGTCCCAGGAGTCGGACTGCCAACGGAGCTGCTGTCCGCATCAAAGGTCATAGTCCATGTGACGCCATCCACTGTCACCGAGGCTGAGGGCAGTGCCGTTGGAACCTTCCCCTCCGTAGAACCACAGTGAAGACACTTCGGCGACTTGGGGAGGACCCAGCTTGCGAAACAGTTGGCGCACGTGTAGGGCAGCTTGGATTCCACCTCTGGGAGGGTCGTCAGCTTCTCCATGGAGCGCGCTCCTTTGGGCAGATGCTTAGCCTCCCAAATCTCCTGCGCAAGGTGCTTGGCCTTGGCAATGGCATAGACCTCAACAATGCGAGCAAAGGCTGCCGGGGTGAGCTTCGTCACGTCAAACTGGAGGCAAAGCTCAATGATCTCACCCACTTGGATGCTTCGCAATGGTTGCGCCAGTTTCTTTGGGAGGCAGGGAAGACCAGCCATGACATTGGTCAGAAGGATGTTCCCGTCCTCGGCAAAGGAGTAGGTCACAGGATCCTGAAGGCGTCCTTCAACTGGAACCTGGGTCTCCAAGGTCGTCCGTAAAGTCGAGGAAGGAGCTGGTGCAGGCTGCCCACCACACAGCGACAGGGCCCCTGATGCTTGCACTGAGGAGAGTGGTGCATCCTTACGAGGCTCAGTATCAGGGCATGAAGCACCTGCCGAGGCTCCAGAATGACCACTCCCAACCAAGGCATCCCAGTATCAGGGCCCGAAGCACCTGCCAGGGCTCCCGCTTTGTCACTCTGATCCAAGGGACGTTTCCGGCTACTCGGTGCAGTCGACGCCGACCCTGCATCCACGGAAGATGCCGGTGGGGGAGAAGCCGAGGTAGAGCTCACCAAGCCGCTGGGAGGTGCCAAGGCCGCCGTTGCAGGAGCGTCCGAAGATGCCAATGGAGGGGTCGACGATGGGTGCCACTGTCAGTGGGGATACAACCTGTGGTCGCCTGGAGCGAGAGGGTGTTGACGCCACTCACCATCGCCTCCAGATCCTTTGCCAGATCCTCAAGGGGTCTTGTCCGGGGGGATCACGTAAATGGCCATCTCATCTTGATCGGCCTCAAGCTGGGCTGATTCTGCGGCTGCGACCTCCTGCTCCATAGGATCCAAGTCCAGATCCATGAAGTCATCAGCTGAGTCCAAAAGTTCGAAGTCGAAAAGCGTGTCAGCCATTGCGGCGAGACTCAGAAAAGATGGATCAGGGTTCTGATCCTTGAGCCAAAATGGCATGCCATTTTGGCTAATGAAATGTATTGAGGACACATTGTTTGCAATCCGCAAACTCCATGCAAAACCAAAATAGATTTCAAGACCTGTCCAGATCTCAAGACACAACTCTTCTGAACCCTGGGTTTCTAGACCCCTACACCTCTAGATCTGTCTGGATGTCCAGGCCTTTGAACCTTTGTAGATGCAGACCTCTCTGCTTCTCAGCCGTGGTCTCCAGGCCCGTAGAATTCACAAAAAAAGGTTTGCTAAGTTGGAATGGCACCTTCCTCCTCTACCGTTTACCCTCAATTGGCTGACAAAAAGTCTGCTACCTGGAATAGCCCTTTCCTCTCCTAAATTTTACCCCTGCATGGATCACAAAAGGTCTACTACTCCTCTAAGTGTTCCTCACCACAGGTCTGCAAAACTTTATCCTCGGGTGGCTCACAAAGGTCTGCTACGTTGGAATAGTACTTCCCCTCTCCAAATTCTACCCTCGGGTTGCTCACAAAACAAAGGCCTGCTACGTTGGAATGGCACCTTCTTCCTCTAAACTTTGCCCCGCAAGGCTAACAAAAAGTCTGCTACGTTGGAATGGCTCCATCCTCTTCTAAATTTTACCCTCGGGTGGCTCACATTTTGCCGTCGGGTGACTCACAAAAGGTCTGCTACGTCTGGGGATACAAGGTCTGCTACAGTGCTTCACAGGATGTATGACCAGGAGATTTCCAAGTCACCCTTTACGCGTCTTGCCTCGAAAGTACAGACCCAAGGACCCGAAGACCAGGACCAGAGGGCCAAGAGGACCAAGGGACCAAAGGACCAAGGGACCATAGGACCAAGGGACCACAGCACCAAGGGACCAGTGGACCAGGACAAAGGATAAATAGGTTTTTTGATGTTTTTTGAAACGAATTAATGTCTTTGTTTGATAGGCATCATGTTTTTATTGATAGGAATCAATTTCTGTTTGATAGGTATCCCTCCTTCCGCGAGTCCATGGTGGGTGCAACAATCGACACTCGGCCTGGGATTTCGCACATGACCTGGGTCCGCACATCGCACGGCAAGCGAGGCAGGTGACAGCGATTGAGTTGTTTTCAACAGTTTTCAACTATGTCGCTTCTAAGACGGTGTCCCAAATAAGGGGATACTACATGGAAAATCAAAACAAGTGGCATCGGCGTTCATGGGCACCGGCACCCGTCTCTTTTTTGCCATCTCAGTTGGGTTGTAATCCCCATTGGTCATCTCGAAGAGCATCCTCTCCAGAGACATCACAGAGGGCTGTCGAACGTGCCCCTGGCGGCTGGACAACCCGATGGAGTTGTTGTTCGCTCGAGAAGTGTGAGATAAGGGGCTCGATGAGACGATGGGTTGATCTCGTTTCGGTGCTTTGGGTGGTGACTCGTTGCCCAGTTCTTTCTCGGACGTGTTGGCGTCCATGTTGGGTAGGCTTGAAGCTACGGGCACCCCGAAGGGTTTTGTTCCATTGGGCCCAGGTCCAAGAGGCAAATTAGGTGGACTCGTGGTTGGACTTGGGGTTGGCCCTGGGGCAGCACCAGGTGCAGCGACAACAGGAGTGGCAACAATTGGAGCGGTGCCAACTGGAGTGGTGCCAACTGGCAAGTGGAGGAAGAAAGATGTTGTTTGTGGCAGGGGGCTGGGGCTGGTAGGGATTCTTGCTGCCACTGGCAGGCTTTTGGCAATCTGAGGTGGGGCGATGTTGGAATTGCTGAGAGGACTTGGACTCATCCGCGTCACGGTCCTAGGACCCTTGGCAACGATTGATGTCGGACACGCTGGCACTCCACGCAATATGCTTCTATTTGCTGTGAGCACCATGGGGCCAGCAGCCTGGCTTGGCACCACCATGCTTTGGGTGGCACACATGCTTGGCAAGTTGGGCTGTGAAGCTGGGATGCTCCATTGCCTCAGCCGTTGTGGCGAGCAATCTTCACATGCTTGCCGTTCGCACTTAATCAAGCCAAGATACACACCAGGAAGATTTCTGATTTGGGCAGAAGGCGGTGCATATCCAACAGTTTTGTAGGCCTTGGGCCAAGGGGCTGGATGGTTCAAACATGAATCTCCATGGTCTGAAGTGCAACAACTCCCGTGGGCCAGGCAGCTTGCGCCGTGGGCGTAGCCGTTGGGCCAACAGACCAACGAGCCGCTTTCGGAAGTGGTCCTGCCAGCTGAGGCAAGCTAAGGGGGTGCTTGGACGAAACATCAGCAGTTGACACAAAACATCACTGTCTCTATGTCTAGGTCTCTTGACCCGCCTCGTATCGGCGCCTGTTGGTTCAAACCCTGCCACGAAGGCATCAGGTACCTTGACATCCAGCACATAGGGTCTCACGTTGATCTTTTGTGCTTGTCAAAGCTTAGCCACTGGCGTCACTGGCGATGTGTTCACTGCGCCTTCCAACAAAGGAGGGAAAACCAGTCACTGTGTTTTTGGACCCGGCAATGCAGAACTGCAGAACTGCATCAGGGCTGAGGTCTTATTCCGGCAACGTAGTGCGTTGGCCGGGGGTGTCGAGAACTAAAGCCTCTTCGGGGTCACATCTGTGGTGGAGCTCAGTACGCATGGGTCATCAGTACGTCACGCAGGTGTCCAATCTCTCTCCCTCTCTGTGTAGCTGGCCTGAAGAGCACTGATTTTCACAGTTGAAGCAAGCATGCTCGAGCCGATATCATAAGCATACTTGGACTTTCGATCATGACACGGTATATAACTCTCGCTTGCACTTTCCAACTGCTGGGTTCTTGAAGAAAAAGCACCACATGTACGACATCCTGGAAAACCATTGTTTTGGACTGGTGCGAGAGTGGCAGTTTTTGGTTTCTTGGGAGAGCCTATCGCTTTACATGGTTTTGTGATAGATTTGACATAACTCCGGAATCCTTTCCTGACAGGCTCGAAAAGTGATGAAGGACATCTTTTCTAAGTGATCCTACGTTCATGGGTCTATCCCTTGGCTGGGGGTCTTCGTGTAGCACATAGTTATCGATAATGTTTTCGTTTTAACCACCTTGGACACAAATGATACGGCAACTGCGGGAAGCACGGGAACCGCAGGTTGTATTTGTCATCATCGGTTTTGCCCGCTGTATGAATGTGCACAAAAGTATGTGGTTACGCCAAGTTTAATGGACTTTCACATGTGACTACAGCCTATCGTACTTTTGCGGGGCCCTATCGTTTTACATGGTTTGCACTTGCTCAGCACAACTGCGCCCTCCCTACTAAAGTGATCTCGGACCTTGACTCATGTATATGTATGTGTGTATGTATTTATCTATATGGCTGTGGGTCAAAACCCAGAGGGGTAGGTTGGCCTCCGGTTGACCTCAACCAGGATCCGGTTTTGACCCATATTGTTTCTAGTATATGTGCAATGGACATAGCCACAATACTGGCTGTGGGCGCACCGTTGACGGCACTGGCCTTTGTGTCGCAGTGCAGCTTTAACAAATTGGCCAGTCAGAGCAGGCTGAGAAAAATGGGAATCTTTGGGATTTGTAACTTCTGTATAGGTCCAACTGCTGCACCAAAAAGAGCAAGCAAAGCTTGAGCACCCAACGACTGTACATCACGCGGGGGTGACATGCCAACACCTGAGATGCCAGGATTGCACTCTTCCAAGAACTGGATACAAACCCATCATTCACCTCATTCAGAGCTCAAACCCACTCATCAAACTCAGATACAACACCATGACTCTTCAGACTTCACCATCCGTCACCATCCTGTGATCCATCTCAATACATTTGGCAAGATCACATCTCTGAAGGAAACGTTCAAGCTAGGCAAGTGCAAAATGGACATGGGGAGGAAAACAAAAGTGAAAAAAATACTAGTAACAAGTGCATCGCTGCTAGGAACAAGTGCCTTACTAGTAGTAACAAGAAGCTATTAGAAACAAGAATTAAAATAGAAATAAGTTTAATTAGAAACAATAAGCTACTCTGTCTTCCGTCCCAACACGCTCCGGATCTTGCCCCCGAGCTGTCTCTGGTCCGCGGTCGCCGGCGCGAAGCCCGAGGGTCTCGGAGCCTGGGCGCTCGGAGCACCGGTCTTTGGCTCTAAAAACCAGAAAAACTGGTATATAACTAGTATACATATATATATATACATATATACATATATACATATTAAATACATATCATATATATGTATACTATATATAGAAAAGATTTAAAGAGGTAATAGCGATGCACTTGTCACTAGTGGCGAGCAAGACGCGGCACCCTTTTGTAAGGATGTGTCAGGTAGAGATATATAAGGTCTTATAAGAAACGTCAACGAATCACGACGTGAGGGAAGCTTCGATTCACTTTGCATACGGTATGACACATCTGAAGTCATCGGTATGTCCGCAGACTAGGCACCCAGACTTGTCGCGGGTCTTCCGCAAACCTCCAACCGGCAGAATCGCAAACATATACACAGTAACACTCTCTCTGTGGCTCAACTACCAAGCAATGGCCGGATCCCGACAATCTCTGTGTGCCTCTGTCCGCATCTCTCCAAGAGTCTTCCCGCAACCTTAAAATCAATTTGGAGGACTTGGCAACAGCGAGATATCAGACTTAGCAAAGGCATGCAAAGGGACCAACAAGCTGGACATCGAGGTAACTCAGCACTGATTTGGAGATGCTCCACAGGCAGGATATCATGCAGCACATCCCTAAAGTGGAGATCTTGGATTGGAAGAGGAACAGTTGCTGGCGCGGCTCAAACAACTTCAAGTTTCGCACCGGTCGCGACTCTTCTTCATCGTTCTCCCTGCCAGTTGGGGAATGGCTGTTGTTAGTTACCCTTTGGCAAGTCGCTTCAACTAAGCTGGAGAAAAACTGGTTTCCCTTAGTGTGTAACGCCAACTCAACTCCAAACCCAGTGCCATTGGCCCAAGATCCTCTATGATCTCTATGTCAATCTGTTCCAGTAGCTGTTTGGGCAGACAGCCAATTGACAAAAGACCATCGATTCACTCATCCTCCAGTTCTAAAAGGGGGCCGATTCCACCTGGTTCTTCTCGCACTGAGAGGTCGCGCCTAGGCCGCACGAATCGCGCCCATGGAGTCGATGGTGTCCGGCTGAAAGCTGAGACAGCTCCCCGTGAAGTTGATCGTGCGGGGCTGCTTTTCCCTGCCGTTTGTGGGGTAAAAGGATACCGTAAATAATGAAAAAAACATCTCATAAAAATTCCGTGTTCAATCAATATAAATACACTCCTATGACATCTGCATGTTGCACTGAGCATTGTCCCATTCCTCGCTGGGCTCCCCAGACGAGTCGTCCCGCACATCCCGGCGGCCGTCTCGGTCCATTCTCCAGAAGGCAATTGGAATGTTGATTAGTCAAACTCCCCATTTAGATGGTAAAACATTGTAAAACCATGTTAAAATATGAGGGGGTTCCTTAATCAACCATCTTAAATGAAATCGAGCATCTACACTGCAGGGAAGCAAAAAAAGGCACAAAACCGAGATCCCGTTTTGTGAGACCAGATCCGTGTGTTTTTGGGATTCCGTTGTGCTCTTGCAGCTCAGTCACGGCTCGCCAAACGGCCGTCTCGGGTCTCTGGCCTTAGCGGCGGAGTGACCAAGCGCCGTGATGGAATGATGACGCGATGACGGACTCCAGTGGTCCGAAACAGAGCGCCAGGGCGGAGGCGCTCACCACCTTCTGAGAAGCCAGTAATTGACAGAAGTTGAGATGGAACTGCGCACAGGTTTGCTGAGCCAAAGGCACACAGCCCTTGAAATCCTGCGAGTCAAACCTGCATGAAACGGGGAGAATCTGTGCACTCCGCCTTAGACTAGTGTTGTTGATAGATAGTGGTTCCAGTGGTTCACACGTTTTGCCGTGGGATGTTGGGATGTTGGGAGTGTGGGATGTCGCTGTCGTATGTCTGACAGAAAGGGGACCCTGTCCAGCTGCATGCTGCCCTTGCTGCCCTTGCTGCCCTTGCTGCCCTTGCTGCCCTTGCTGCCCTTGCTGCCCTTGTCCAAAAATATGTTAAAATGTTTAAGGTCATCGACTTTAGACATCCAATGAAAAACATGGAAGGGCTTCTGGACCAGACAGGCCAGAAATCCCAAAGAACGAATGCATAAGAATGATCCAAGGAAATCGTACAAAGTCAAGCATGTAAATAGAAAGGCGTTTAGTGACTGCACAAGAAGCCATTTGCACCTCTTGACAGCAATTAATTTTTCCTCTGCGATCTCTCTCCGCAGCCGTTCTTCCTGGCAGGCTCTTCAGCGCTTGCACTGAACGGACATTGGACATCGGTGTCGTCGGTCACCTCTGCCCTTCGAGGCGGGATGGACTGTTTTCTTGGAGTTGGACGCTATGGCTACTGGGGTGGAGGTCATCCTTATTCTGGTGGAGGGTGGAGATAGACTGTGTTCTTTTGTTTTTGGGTGGGTAGCAATTGCTTGTGCAAACGCCCCAGGGCACTTGCCTTTAGCGGGCAAAGGGTGGTAGGAAATGAGCACCAACTTAACGCCATGCCACTAAAAAGTTATAAGTTATAAGGCTCCAACTTTGGCTCTAACCACATATATATATATATATGTTTGGCTTCGGAGTCGCTCTGTCTTCAGCATGTTCCAGCTAGTACAAATCAGTCGAGTAAGATGCTCCAAATTCCTAGTTGACATTCACAAGAGATGCTGTCGCAGGAGGCAAAAAACTGATTCAAAGGCAACTCCTTCAAAACACTGCCACCCGTTCAACGACGACCCGTTCTTCTCCTCTTTGGCATCTTCTTGCTCCTGACGCCGCCGGGCTTCCTCCTTACGGCGCTTCGCTTCTTCCACCTCATCCGCCGATCGGACTCGCTTTTGAAAATTGGTTTGGAAGTCTTTCCCCAAGCTCTGAGCTTCAAAGAACTTATCACGTCTACTGAGTCTACTGCATGGATTGGTTCTTTATTTGCTCCCCATTTCGTCAAGAGCTTTCAAGAATAGGTCAGTATTCGCTCCCGACTCGGGTAAAGTGGCTCCATCCAAAACTTGGATTTCACTCAGTTTGACTTGGTATCTGGCCTGCACAGCGAGCGCACGTTGCAACTCCTGCGCTTCCGCACGTTTGATGCCCTTTTGGCCGCGAACAGTCCGAAGCAAATCTGCAGAGACAGCAAACTGCACTGCACTGAGAAATTGGACTGCACTACACTGCCTTTATGCCTTTTCTGTGACCTTGCAAGCACTTTGCACTTTGCACCACGACACATCAATGAGCCACCTGCTGTTGGAGCCGCTTTCGCTCGCGTTCGGCATCCTGTCAGAGAGTCTAGGGTTTCTCTTCA